TAATAATTTTAAGTATTTTTGAATAGTTCGGATAACAATAACCAATCTTATTTTCTTCTGTCGACTACCAATTTTGATATATTATTTCAATTTAATAGATTTAATACATATTTTGAATTTTTCGGATAGTTTTGAGTAAAAATACCCTAAACTAAACCTAATAAAATGAAAATAGGAATATTTCAAATATTTTTAGTTCTCATAATTAAAAAAACATACAAAAAATGTATTGGTACCTATCAAACCCCTTTATCCGTAAAATCAAGAACTAATAAAGTTTTATCCGGAATCGAACCGAATACTCTTACGTAAAATAGTAGTATAGTATTTAAATACTTTATATGAAATTTTATGGAATTTCTAATAATATGATATTGCTTTTGGCAAATTGACCAAAGTGTTTTTTTTTTTACGTTGACCAAAGTGTGAACTTGCATTTTTATAGGAGAAATTAGGCAAAATAACAACCAAAATTTTATAAATTAGCTGAATAACCATAATAGCAAGTGGCTATGATATTTTGTATATTCTATATAATGTTACCAAAATTGTCCAAAAGCTTATCCGATAAAGTCTGTCTCTCCTTTTCTTCAGACACAAATAAATATAGGTTGTCGCTGATACCATCGTCACCGCAATATGCCGGTGATCGTTGTTGCTTTCTCCATCAAATTATCAGTTCTCCGAGTATAATACACAAAGAGTATAATTTCCCCCAACCTGATGGTGGAGTTGACGTGGAAAAATATCAAAAATTTTGGTTACCAAAGTTATCAAAAATTATCAAGAGTATTATATCAAAAATTATCAGTTCTCCGAGAATAATACACAAAGAGTACACATTTTATGCCATCAAATTATCAGTTCTCCGAGTATGACACACAAAGAGTACACATTTTTAACCATTTGGTAGGGGAAAAAAAAGTCAAATTTTAGGTCAATTTGTTATTCACTTACTTCTTTAAAATCCATGGCTAAATTCTTTAGTAGTTATGCCAATATGTATATCCGACTAATTCTTTTTTTTTATAATCTTTAATAATAATAAATTCAGACGATAAAAAAAAAAATCAATTTGTCGATTTCTGCCGACAAAGAAAATAATATCTTTCATCAATTTCTCATATTAATATTTTGCTCCTGAGCTTTTAGACAAGATATTGTTTTTTTTTTTTTCCTTTCATTTTAGGTGGCCAAGGCAAAAGCATGCAACAGTTGGTTCGGACGAAACTAGAAAAGTCATTGGTGGCCTGGATCTCATTTAGAATTTGACATATGAAGAAAAACTTGTGTAATCTATCTCTCTCTCTTGCCGCAAGACAAAAGTGAAGCATTTTGACATTGTTGGCACAGAAGTAATGTCTTTTTGAATTCAGAATCCGGTATCAGAGCACAAGTCCAAAAAGCTGGTATTCGTGAGTGATCAAATGGCTAACGCACAAACCAATAGAATGTTTGGTGAAAGGGAGGTGGACGTCTTCCTGAGTTTCTGCAATGATGTTGGCCATAGTGTTTTTCAAAATCATTTGTCCCTAAATGGCATCAAAACTTTTGAATCTAATAGTCAGGCCAGTCGATAAACGGACACTGGAGGCTTTGAAAGAGTCGAGAATGGCGTCTGAGATGGAATCTTGTTCCGTTGGGTTCCTGGAAGAGCTCATAGTAATACTCGAATTCCAAGAGAAAGGTTCACTCACGGTCGTACATGCAACACACCTTACTCTTTTCATGTGAAAGAAGATATCTACCAAAAATATCCCGAAAATGCGCCAAGTTGGAGAGCCGCGCTTACCAAATTGGCCAACATTGCAGCCGAGTTTGCATTTCCTTGGGATCATGTAGGTATTCGCCAACCAGATCGGTTAAAGCAGATTGCTCATGAAATTTGTCTTTTGTTTCTTTCTTCCACATCAAACGATTTGAATGCCCTTGTTGCAATGGACCGTCACATGAAAGTGGTTTACGACTTGCTGACTTCACAAGTTGCCAACAAAGAGGTTCGTACCCTTGGCATTTCTGGTACTGCAGGTGTTGGGAAGACGACACTTGGAAGGTACATTTATGCAGAGATCTCTGTAAACTTTCAGGCACATGTTTTCGTAGAAAACGTCGAAAACATGAAAGACAAGATTCTAAACTTTGAAAGGGAAGAAGATCCAACGGTTATAACAAGTTTAGATCACCATTGGCATGAAATTACCGAATCAAGGCGTAAACACCAGAAAGTTCTCCTTATCGCTGATGATGTGAACAACACTGAACAAGGGAAGTGGATCGTTGAATAGGCGCTCCAGGAAGCATAGTGATTCTTATTAGCCAGAACAAGAACTTGCTTGTTGACGCGGGAGTGATGGATGTGTATGAAGTCAGATCTCTAAGATATGACGAAGCTCTTCAACTCTTCTCTCATTTTGCTTTCAAGCAACCATATTCGCCTTGTGATTTCGAACAGCTTGCAGTTCGTGCTGTCCATCTCGCAGGCTTTCTTCCTTTGGCCCTTAGGCTGTTAGGGTCGTTTTTTAACGGTAAAGGTAGAGAGGAATGGCTAACTGCACTGCTTAAACTCAAGGCAAAGCGAGGTGGAAATGTAATGGAAGTGTGGAAACTTATGGAACCATCACAAGATAAAGGTCAAGAGGAGTGGGAAGCTGCTGCAGACATAATGAAAGCAAATGAATCATCAAAAGATAAAGGTCAAGAGGAGGCGGAAGCTTCTGCGGACAAAATGAATTTAAAGGGAATGAATCATCAGAAGATCAAGATCAGGAGGAGACGGAAGCTACTGCAGACAAAATGAAAGGGAATGAATCATCAGAAGATTCAGATCAGGAGGAGATGGAGGAGTGGGAATCTGCTGCATACATATTGAAAGGGAAGGAATCATCGCAAGATTAAGGTTAAGAGGAGACGGAAGCATCTGAAGATAAAGATATTGCGTACGCATTAAAAAAAAAATATAGCAGAATGAAGAGTCACGAGTCCCATCTTAGTTACATCTCTCTTTGTTTCTTTGACGATAATGTGAGTGTGAAGCTTGCAAACATTAGTATCCCACTTGTTCTTATGTTTCCTGATACTGTCATGATTCTATTGTTACTGTTAGTAGATTGATATTATAAACATGCGAAGATTATTATTTTTCAGCACATAGAATCACTGAAAACAAAGTTGAAAACAGAGACTGTTAGATACTTGTGGTGGAGAGACAAGACAAGGCAAAGCAACTGTGGAGGAATCAGATCATCAATACTAGTTCCTTCACAGTGTTCCTGAATTCTTCAACGATGTCTTTATCTGTCAAAAAAACAAAGAAACACTCTGGGTACAAAGATTTACAAGCTTTAGGGTCGAATCTCGACCTAATCAAATAGTTTTGATCTCCTCTCTTCTCTGTGCAGGTGTTTTGTTTAGTGCACAGAACATATAGTTAAGCACTAGATCTCAACCATGTTTCAATTTCTTCAGCAAACTCAGTATCTACAAGTAAAAGAATCAATTTCCTCCAAACAGTTGAATAATATACCAAGAATTATAGAATCTTTTAAACAAAGACCACCATCATATGTATTCATTATCAACACAATCCCACCAGAAATTTCAAAAAGTGAATTTACATACCTTAATCACGACTGAAGTAACTCCTTTATCAACACAGAAGGAAGTCCCTGAACGACGAGCGTATTGCTCGGAGAATTTCCTCATAATCTCCACAGATTTCTCTACTTGCTCTAAAACTATGAAATTTAGAATGCGGTTTTGTTTTAGTAAATGATCTAACAGTCTTTTTAATGTTTTCAGGATCAAAGTCGCTTCCTTTTTATGAAAATCTTCAAAGGGGTTGAGCAAACGTCCAAGCATGAAACTTGTATATTGGCTGGCTACACGATAAAGTGTGTTCAGCTCTAGTGTAAATGAATGTTTTTTCAATAACTTTTCTTTGGGACAT